GTATGTGGTATTTCGGAACAGAATCTAGTTCCTTCGATATCAATGTTATCTAGTAATAATCATGAATTTTTCTGTGTTGGTGTAATGTACTCAGGTGAATATGATGCTTGTGATGTTACTCTGTGTGTATATCCACACCGGGCAAGCTTGAAAAATATGCTTGACCACGATGGGAATCGAACCTACGACCTTTGGAATACTAGCCCAATGCTCTACCAACTGATGAGCTACGTGGTCTGGTCGGTTCGAGTATGTGATATTTTGGAGAATCAGGTTCTACGGTGGCCCAGAAGGGACATCACTTTAACAAAGATAAATAATACTAATATTATTTTCTACTACCACTTTCATTCGAATTTTGTGCAGACCATTACTTCAATAAAAAAATATTACATTTTATTAAAAATGAACACACACTTTCTCACTAAAAATGTGCAGCATGTCTTTACTAACACCGCGGAAAAACGTCTGCGCATGCGTCAACCTTACCTGTAATAGTATTGCGAACTTGATGAGAAGCTGTTCCGAACGTTTCCGAAGGCTCAAAATGGCGGTAAAAAGGAGTGACTTCATTGTGCGTCTTTACAGCCAGATTTCGAGCGTAAAAATAAACATGTCATTCTAAAAACTAGGAATAAATACAGCCAGAAGATTCAAGAAATTGTATTGTACAAGAACATGAACTAAAGGTGATTGTTGACAAATTTATCGTGTAAAACATTTTGTTTATCAACTAAGCAACGACAATTTCCGAATTTTCGTTTGAGATACATTTATTTAAAAAAAACTGTGTCGCCAAATATAAAAAATTTTCGTGTTCACAACAATTAAACTTTAGGATTTATTCTACAATTTGAGTGGGTTAAGAAGCTTAACTTTTCAAGAGTTTTCTTAACTTTTGAGTTTGAATTTTTGTATTGAATAATTTTGCAAATATTTTCGACAAAATAAAATCAACAATTTTTTACATGAATTCTATTTCATTCCATACTTTAAATGCCACGACGCTTTCAATTAATGTCTAGTCTACCCATTTGCTATATTTTCTCGTTTGTTTTACTAATTTTTGACCAATTAATAAGCATGTTTTTGTTTTAGAAATTGATATTCAAATTCCCCGCCATATTTTCATAATTTGGTGCATGCGCAGACGTTTTTCCGCGGTGTTGTCTTTACTAAACTTCTTAAAAAGCTGCGTGCACATGTTAACATGAGGAGACTGGGGCGAATTTTCAAAATTACTATACCTTCCACTTAAGAAGATTTTTTTCCAGAATGGAGAATATTTTGCTTCCATTTCAATACGAATTTTTTATAAAAAAATGCAGCTATCAAATAAAATTTATTTTCACGTTATTAATGTAATCCTTCATATTATGAAAGATTATTGAGTGAGTGAGTGTAATATTTCAACTTTTACAAGAATTTTAGAATGGAAATTTTCTTTGAAAAAGAACAGCTGGGAAATTTGTTGTCGCTGTGCAGAGAAATTGCTGGCGCACGCGATATTTTACAAAAATTCAAAAATTTGAAAAACAACACGAGTGAAATTGGGCCATTCCATTTAATATCCACACCCCCCTGTTGACGAGATTTTCCGAAGGGTTCTGAAATTCTGAAATTTCTGAGGGGGTTCCAAGTTGAAAATTTCCGAGGGGTGTTGTAAAACCAAAATTTCTGAAGGGATCAAAATTTTTTTTTAAATTTCTGAAGGGCCGGCCAAAATTCTGAACATTTCTGAAGGGGCACTACCTGTTGACGAGAATTTCCGAGGGGGTCAGGAAAATCCCTGAAAATTTCTGAGGGAGTCAGGAAATTCCCGATAATTTCAGAGGGGCTCAAGAAATTCCCGATAATTTCTGAGGGGGTGAAGAAATTCCCGAACATTTCTGAGGGGGGTCAAGAAATTCGCGAAAATTTCGGATGGGGTCAAGAAATTCCCGAAAATTTCCGATGGGGTCAGGAAATTTCCAAAAATTTTCGATGGGGTCAACAAATTTCCAAATATTTCCGAGGGGGTCAAGCAATTCCCGATAATTTCGAGGGGTTAGAGAATGTTTTGCGCAGAGCCTCCTTAAGTGTTTAAAAATAACTTACATGAAGTTTCTTGAATAAAAGTGAGTGCGCAGAACGTAGAGTTATTGAGAAGTGGAGGAGCAATCTGCGCTTTCAGTTAATAAACGAGCGGGGATAGTGGGATACCATGCATGGTGCATCACAGTCTTAATCTTTGTTATTATCCATGCTTACTATAGCGATACTACATTGGAGGGCCACCAGTTTATATTGTAAGGTGTTATACGCACCTGAAATAAAGTTTTTATCTTATCTATTCCGATTTTCCTGCTCGACGCCAGCTGAAAACAAGCCAGTCATTCTTGACAAATTATGCCGGATTTCTGAAGGAGCATAAAACATGCAACCTAATTCAGACGAACACCGTCAAATTGCCGGGATCTAGCCCTTTTGAAAGGATCCTTTTGGCTTAGAATTAAACAGACTACTTTGAAAAGACCAATAAAAAGATCTTTTTGGCTTAAAAATGTTGCGCCCATAGGTGACACCCATCCCACATTCATCGCAGTTATGATGCCACCCTCCCTTACCTCAGGGACTCCACTAATAGTCGATGGACGGCTTTGACTAGCTGCATGGGAGGACAATGCACCGAGCCCAAACTCATAACGCGCGCTAGCACGCGTATTGATGCCACCTTTTACTATCACTAGGGGCCATTCCATTTAATATCCACACCCCCCTGTTGACGAGGTTACTGATTTTGGGACCCTTCGGAAACGGTTTTTGGGAAGACCCCCTCGGAAATTTACTATTTTTCGCAGAACCCCTCGGAAATTTTCCATTTTTCTCAAGCCCTTCGGAAATACTTGTTGACGAGGTTCCATCACGGAAGACCCCTTCGGAAATTTTGAAATTTTTCATCCCCCTTCGGAAATTTTGTATAATTTTCTTACCCTCAGAAACAGACCCTGCTCATAAATTTCGCAACTCAACAGACAACACTTGTATTTATAAAGCATTACTATAAGCACCAAAAATTGTTTCGCGTTTGACCTTCTCAATTGTCACGATTTCAGTAGCAAACAGCAACTTGATGAGTTCGTGAGTTGCCCGTTTAGATTTGGCGATGTCTATATTAGAAACATTTGTGGTAACATCGCATATGGACTTAAAAATCGTTTCGACCGATTGTATTTAGCAAACGTTGTGTATTTCGCGGTCACGACCACACAATTCGCTTTCGGAAATTTCAAAAGTGTTTATGATTGAAACTTAGCGATGTCGATTTGAAATATTTAACGAAGTATTAGCAATTAACATATCATGATTATTTTATCTAAACTCTAAAAAACAGTTTTGGCCGACATAGAATTTAGCAAGCGTCATCTATTTTGCGCCTGCACGCGCAAAATTTCTGACCCGTTATGGCTTGGTCAGGTATTTCGTAGAGGTCAGGAATTTCGCTTCACACCGCCCCGTTAAAGGACATTGGCAACGAAAATTTTTATTGGCTATTTCAATCCTACTTGACAACCGAACTATGAACATATTATCATTTCCTTCTTGAACATTTTAGTCTACGAGTAAAATGCATGCAAACTTTGTGTTTCGGCCAATTTCGCTGCCATCTTGGAAAATGTTTTTGAAAAATTATCTCGAAGGTCAATGAACTTTGTGACGTCATTGGCTGGGTAGCACCAAAAGTACAAGAGAGAATTCTATTGCGTGCGTGTTATGTTACCTAAAAATATGTCGTTTTGAGCGTTATACTGGCCAACACTCTTCACAATCCAACAAGAGAAGTCTACACTATCAGATAAAAACATATCGAGCGACTGGGAAAGCAAAAAATGGCGCAATTTACAATGCAGGTAATTGATCATAAAATATTGCATTAGTATTTGCCTTTTTACACTCAAATTTCTGCGCTTATTTAACACGGAGTAGGATATATACTATGAGAAATAGTGTTACAAACAAGTTACATACTTGGTAAAACTTTTCTGCCTTTTGTTTTGGCTCAAAATGCACTACGCGTGGTAATACACAGTATTGTTTATAGTCATGAGATTGTGTTTACCCAGCCAATGACGTCAGATAATGTGTTTTGTGGCATAAATTAGCATACGCGCTTATTTTCAAAATGGCGGACAACTGTTCAAATTTTCTCAAATTCAATCAAATTTTCTCAGCAACTAAACGTGACAAACCGGCCAATATATGAAATTAAATATTCCGTAAGTATACCTAATAAATATAAGTAATAAAAATTTTGGTTGCCAATGTCCTTTAAAGCTGGCTAGCTCAGTAGCTCGCTTTGCCCGGCCAAGTTGTAATTTGTTTCACATGAAGCGGGCTAGCTCGGCAAGTGCTATAGAAATTCCCGCGCGAATTTTAGTGGGATCGCAATATTTGTTTTAATTTTGAAAAATGCTATTTTTATTGACGGAAACTGCTTCAGAAGTTTTAATATTGTTGATTTCTTACTTCTTTCGAATTCTTACATGCTTTCTATATAGAATAAAGCATGCAGCGTCGTGACACAATTTCCAGCCCGGTTTGCCACTGGCCCGCTATAGGCCCGGTTTAAGGCCGAGAATTTTTCATGCGCCGAATCTAATGCAAGGATCAAGTTCATGCGACACTAGAGTGTCGTCTGGTTTGACACGACTCGAAGATGGGACAAGACAATTAAGTCTTATATGCTTTTCATGCGTGACTTTTCATCCAAATGACCGATATCGTGAATTCGCCTCCCGAGTGTCCACGATAAGTCACAAAATGTTAATGCTAACTCACAATTGTATAATCCCTTTAATAAATCTCAAACTTTAACAAACAAAATCAACTCTCTCACGTTTAACATTTTTAGTACGTTTCTCCCGTCGCTATCTTTGAACCATTACATATTTACTTACATAACGTACTTTATCGTCTAGCCCGCAAACGGGCAATTTATCCATATCTATCCCTATTTATCCCTACACTGGTAAATCTCCAACACCCTCCCCCCATTTATCTTAGGAAGAGATAAATGTTCAGATTGTTCAAAGTCTCAATGTTCCTCAGTGTTCGTCACGGTCATTCTCGGTCACCTCTCTTATACGTTGACGTGCGGCGACTGCAGCAGCTCTCTTTGGCCTGAACGTAGGTGCTTCTGGATTCATAACTGCTTTAGCAGGTGGTTCAACATCGCAAGATAGTTCTAAAGGATACAGTTGTTGAACTGCTCGTTCAAGATGAGACTTTTTACTGCGGACTTTCGCAACTCTTACTTCTCCATCTTTCCCAGCAACTAGTTCTTCGACTACACCTAACGACCATTTTCCTCGTTTCTTTTCATCATCTGCAATGATGACAACATCTCCAACTTTTGGTGTAAATCCACGTTTGGTCTTCTTCGTACGGTGTCTCTCACGCAAACTCCTCAAGTATTCATTTGACTATCTTTTCCATACTGCGGTTTTGCACTTCAAAAGATGCTTGGCACGACCTCGTAAATTACCATCTTCGAGATGGTGCGGTTCCATTTCGGGCAGAATGTTGCTATTTGCGAACAGCATGGAGTTGGGAGTTAATACGGGAAATTGCAAGTCATCTTCAACATAGGTTAGAGGTCGATTGTTCAATGTTACCTCGACATCTAGGAGAACCTCTTCCAACTCTTTCCATCTCAGCATGCCGTTTCCAATGCATTTTCTGAGAGCGGATTTTACCAGTCCTACAATGCGTTCAAATTGTCCGCCCCACCAAGGGGCGCGGCTGAGGTTGAACTGCCACCGTATCTGTTGCTTGCCCAAATAGTCTTGGAACCTTTCGTCATACATCACCATTCGGATCCACTTTGCTGCCGCCACAAAAGTACCACCGTTGTCGGAATATATTCTTTCGGGTCTTCCTCTTCGTGCCACAAACCGCTTGAGGCTCAACAAGAATTCTGCTGTTGTCAGGTTGGGTAGAAGATCAATCATAACACCTCTGGTTAAACTACAGGCATACAGAAGAATATATGCCTTTCCTTCTCGTTTCTTAGCTGTTCGATATTGTAAGGGTCCAGCAAAATCTACGCCTATCACCTGGTAAGCATTCTTTCCTTCAGTGCGTGTGGTGGGTAAGATACCGGGTGGGGGTGTGGCATATGCAGTAGCTGTCAACCTCTTGCATCCATAACAACGTTTCCTAACTTTCTTTACGAGCTGCCTTAGCTGGGGAATCCAATAACGTGCACGAACGTGGCCCATTGTTAAACCAACTCCGCCATGTAATGTGTGTTGATGTGCTTCTTCGACGATTCTCTGTGAAATGAGATGATGGTCAGGGACATAAATTGGATACTTTCCTTGAATACGTCCGCGGCATTCTAACAGCTTGTCTTTGCCAAGTTGTAAGTTCAAAGCCACTCGATCGATCTCAAGGTCACAATTTTTCTGAGCTCTCTTAATGTAGAACTGACGCTGGCGGGCAAGTTCGCTAGTGGTCAACGGTCCTATGACGCGGGATCGTCCTCTTTTATGAAGGGCATTGTTTGCAAATCTTCGCATCCAAGCACACACACGAAGAGCTTTCTGCAAGGGAAACTTCTTTAAGACTTCATCAGCTTCATTACCATCATTCACCGCAACAGCAACAGCAAGAACACTTTTCACTAGTTTCGCTTCAGCATTACTTTCAACAGTGGGTTGAGGCACAATGTCATCTGGCCAACGTTCAGGGTCCTTTAGCCAATTTGGTCCCCGCCACCACAGCTCTGCATCACCTAAGTCACCAGCTCTGCTTGCACGATCCGCCGGGTTATCACTCGTTGGTACATGTCTCCAAATCAGATCTTGGTGGTCATTGATCTTCTTGACACGATTGGCCACGAATTGTATATAATCCCCATTTCCCTTGATCCAGTGTAAAACCACTGTGCTGTCAGACCAACAATAACTACTTTCAACAGGAAATCCATTCAACACTTCGCTACATTCACTACCAGGTTGGCGGCCATATGTGCTGCCACCAACTCTAAACGCGGGATTGTTAGTTCTTTCTTCGGTAGTCTAGCTCTTGCTGCTACCAAGCCTTGGTTTGTGCCCGATGCCTGCTCAACGACTGCATACACACACTCTGCTACCCCGTTTTTGCTGGCGTCTCCAAACGAATGTAGCTCGATGCTTTCGATTGGCTCTCTATGGACTACTAACGATCTTGGAACTTCGACATCAACCGGCAGACCATTCTCCCACTGATTCCACTCTTTGATCAGATTATCAGGCATTGGAGCATCCCAGGCTATCTTCGCATCACATGTGGACCGGTATATCAGCTTACCTCGCAACGATACTGGTGAAATGAATCCCAGTGGGTTATATATTTTAGCAAGCTTAGCTAAAATACCTCGTTTCGTTTTCACAGTCTCTTCTGTTGGTAGGGTTACATGAAGTGTATCTGACTCTTTTGACCATTCGAGACCAAGTAGTTTGCAGCCTCCCCCATAGGTAGTCCCAAACTGTTGTTTTGCATAAGTAAATTCTCCTTCTGGCAGATCTTCTGACTCTAAATTTTGATCATTTGAATGCCATTTGTGAAGGTTAAAACAGCCCTCTTTAAACATTTCTGTTATCTTCTCTTTGAACTCACGAGCTTCCGCCACTGTTGTAGATCCGGAGATCAGGTCATCAACGTACAGTTCATCTCGAAGTTTCGCTACGATGTCCGGTTCTCGGTCCTCCCAGGTGCTCAAATGCATGTCAAGAACTCCCCCCAGCAAGAATGGGGAGGGAGCTAAACCAAAAGGCACTCTAGCAAATCTCAAAATTTCAACGTCAGACTGTACGTCCGTCTGCCAATGGGTTCCCTCACTCGAATCTGATGAAACGCTTTCTGTAAATCACCATTCAATGCTACCGGGTGAAAGCGTCCTCTGACTAATACATTCCAAAGTTTATTTGTCAGACTGGGCCCTGGGTTTAGACATTCATTAAGTGAAGGCGCTGCGTTATGAGCTCTAGCCGATGCATCGTAGACAATCCTGAGCTTCGTTGAACCTGATTCGTCCAGAATTTGGTTATACTTAGATCTCAGTCCTGCACGATCAAGTCTACTTGTCAAACCTGCCAGGCGACGTAAGCTGCTAGCTCGATTGTTTGGTAATGGTGGATGGTTTCCACGCCATGGTAACTCTGTCTCATATCGTCCAGTTTCATCCCGAGTAAGTTGCTCCTTGAACTCATCGTAGACAATACTCTGGCTGTTGGTTGGTCTATCTTCTAAGCCCAAGACGTCAAGCCGACATAGTTCTTCATAGTCAGCTTGAGATGTCTGAGTTAGAAGCATACTTGACACATCCACGGATTCCTTGCCTGGGGACATAATAGTCCAACCGAACCGAGTCAACTCGGCTACAGGTTGACCTGGAAGACCAACTCTAGGAGGTTTCTCTGTCTTCAGCTTCGCAAACTCACTCGCCCGAGAACAATATGAACTGGAAGTTTATCTTTTAGGTCATGATCTTCCATAGCAACTCCTTTCATATGTGAGTGGTTCTTAATGATCTCTTCATACCTTGGGTTATCCAAAAGTAACAGTTCGTTCTTGTTAACTTTAGTTACTTCCACCGACAAGGAAAAATCACCAGTGAGCCCCCCAATTTGAATAGTTGATAGTTCAACCTCTCTTGTTGTTGTTCCAAGCATCATGTCAATCTTCCTTACTTCTTTCTTGGAGCATCTTTTGGGAATCTGATCTAATAATGCAGCTGACACATAGGAGCTCCCTGCACCCGTGTCTAATAGAGCCCGACACTTGAACCCACCTACTTGTACAATAACCACTGGATGAATAACATTTGTACTACTACTAGCTCCGAGGAATTGTTCCGTCACCTGATCACAAATTGATCTGTGATGTCTCCGTTTGCATTTTTGACATCCTAGCTTACTCTTGCACTCACTGGCACGGTGCTGTGCCTCTGTGCAATTAAAGCACAGTCCCTTTTGAGCTAGAATTTTCTTTCGTTCTTCTCGGGTTTTGACTTTCGAACAGTTTGTCCCTTTATGCGTGCTTTCTTCGCAGTAAACACATTCTGGTCGCCGTGATTTCTGTTCTGCATCTTGAGTTGATAGAACCTTGAGTAATCCTTCCCTTTCCCACTGCGCTGTTGTTGCTCTAATTTCTCTTCTATTGGATTGATTTCACGCCATGTTTTTAGGGCCTTTAGGAGGTCTTCATATCCCCAGTTTTGACAGTCCTCCTTTCCATGAACAAGATCAGCTTTTATACCCTTTAATTTATCTAATGTTGCCCGAACATTCCCTTTTACATCAGCCAATCTATCAAGGGTATCAAGGCTCTGAACATTGTACCTAAGCTGTTTGTAAAATTCATTGATCTTTGCTGGATCCTTGCCATTAATAACTGGTAAGCTCATAATGTTAACCACATATGTATTTACAACATCAGCCATCTGTCCGTATTCTGATTCCAAAACTTCTTTCGCCTTGTCATAACCCGCTTCGGTGAATGGAAGACCATCTATATCTGTCCGAACTTTCTCATCCAACAGTTCTTTTAGGGGCCATTCACAAAGGATGTCCGAGCCAAGGGGGGGGGAGGGGGGTTTGGAAAATCAGGACAAACTCGGACATAGGGGGGGAGGAATCCGGATGTCCGAAATTTTAAAAAATTCAAAAACAAATTTCTTTTTCCCTCTATTTTGAGCAGTCCTTCTCATTGTGAAATTGGCATTTTGACTCTGCGGTTAACACTAGATTTTGTTTTAATGAGTAATTTATATGTTTTTGTATTCACATTTATAGTTATAAAAAAGTTCTAAAAGTAAAAAAAGTTTTTTTACTCTTGACATATACAAGGTTGTGTGAGTTTTTGCGAGGCATGGTGGATGTCCGGGGGGAGGGGGGGTCACTAATTCGGACAATGCCCGACAAGGGGGGAGGGGGGGTCTGAAAATCCATCATTTGGCCGGACATCCTTTGTGAATGGCCCCTTAAATAAGAAAATTTCGTTAAAATCGGTATGTCTGTGGAGTCAATTTCAGATTTAAACTTCCCCCAAAATGGGAGCCATAAGTCAATTTGTCCATTGAACTTCGTGATGGGTAGTTTGGGTAATTTTGCACCAGAGGTTGGTTTACTGTGTTCATTGTTTTCACCTTGTTTCGTTTTCTCTAACTCTTCCTGAAATTTTGCCTTTCGTTCAAATAACTCAAGTTCAAATGCCAACTTTCTTTCGTGTTCGTAAGCTGTTTTGGCTTCTCTTTCATCATCATCCATTTTCTTGATCTGTTGATCTAATAATTTGATATCCTGATCTGCTTTCTCAAGTTCACTTTCATATAGTTTGCTCCACTCGGCTATAGCCCCTTCATCTTCACCTTTCGCAAATTGTTTTTCTTCGATTGTTTCCTTTAGCTCGTTTACTGCTTTCGATATATTAATAATACTTTGTTTTTGACGTTCAGATGCTTGTCGATCTTGTTTCTCTAATATTTCACTCGTTTTTGTGCGCCTAAAGTTAAGGTGTAAGGGTCTTTATCTTGCTCGATAGTTCAGCTATTTGTCTCTCCATATTGTGTCACAAATTTCAATATATAGTCGAATACTCACATTTGTTTAATGTTTACGTTGACAAATTCAACTCGAAAATCCCGTCGAAAAGGTGCCACTGTATCGTGAATTCGCCTCCCGAGTATCCACGATAAGTCACAAAATGTTATTGCTAACTCACAATTGTATAATCCGTATAATCCCTTTAATAAATCTCAAACTTTAACAAACAAAATCAACTCTCTCACGTTTAACGTTTTTAGTACGTTTTTTCCGTCGCCATCTTTGAACCATTTCATATTTTCTTACATAACGTACTTTTTTACCGTCTAGCCCGCGAACGGGCAATTTATCCCTATTTATCCCTACACCGGTAAATCTCTAGGCTCAGATTCCAGCCGTTGTATAAAATGTATTATATTTAAAGAAAACAATGACAATCCTTATGAAATCAACAATATTTATATTAAATTAAGCATAGTTTTTCACCCCATGATAATTTTTTTAGGAAATAAGAATATTTAATTTCTGCCAGGCATATTAGTTATTTTATGCATAATTAGCCATTTACCTGGGGTGGTGCATGGTCATTTTCTTGTAAAATATTATATTTAGACAAATTTTTTCTTCCAATGATCACCCCTAAAAGCAACCCTTCTAAACACTATAAGCACTTCAGAAAGACTATCGCTTTTTGTTTTCTGAAGTTAGAGCTATGTCGACACTGCCGTTTCAGGGCGGGGTTATTTTCAGGACTTTCGTCCCGGATTCAGATTTTGGCAAATATGCCATGTTGACCGCCATGGTTATTTTACCTCAAAACAGTTGAGATTACCTGTGGTAAATGAAACGCATACAAACTCATATACAGGTCCTAGACTAAAAAGCTAGCGGTCATGATGGTATTGGTAATAGAATTATTAAATTATGTAACCGTGGAATTGCCAAAACATTTACATGTTTAATCAACACAAGTCTCCAATGATCATCAATATAAAAAGAACTATCGTCCTATATCACTTTCACCGCCTATATCCAAAATACCAGAAAAAATTGTATTCACTAGACTATATGAATTTTTATTAGAAATTACATTTCTTAATGATTTTCAGTCCGGCTTTAGACCGGGAGACAGCACTGTGAACCAACTTACGTATATAGTTCATAAGATCTATGAAGCTCTAGAAATCGGTAAAGAAGTCCGTAAGTAGTATAGTAGGTACCAATCGGGCCTTATTTTTGAGGAAGAGGAGTGAGGAGGAGGGGCGGAGGAGTGAGTGAGGGTGAGTGTGGTGGAGTGAGGAGTGTTATGTTGGTGTTACATGAAGTATAGAACGTTGCATCAGGGGGGTCGGGGGATTTTGGAAGTGAGCACATGTGTGTAGGTTTTAGGTTTTAGGTACGTTGAAATAAATAACGATTTTGAAGATATAACATTGGCGACGAGGGTAAATTTATGCATTACCGGTTAATATTAAAGAAAGAGTGATTCATTTTGGGTGTTTGCGAGAAGTGAAGATTCAAACGTGAGATATAAAATCGGCGGACAATCTGACATATACGGTATTTGTGCCATTTTGTGAAGGTATTTGATCATGGCGAGCGCGGGAATCTACAACCCATGCCACCGTTTGACCCTAAGATGGATGTTAATGCTGTAGCACAACGTTGGGAACAATGGCTTAAGAGATTTCAAAGATATTTGCTGGCAATGGATATCAAGTCGAAAGCACGGCAGCGGGCTATGCTTTTGTACGCGGCAGGTCCCGAAGTGGAGGCCATTTTTGACACGCTACCGGACAATGGTGACGAAGATGACTTTAAGACGGCGTGTGAAAAGCTCACTGAATATTTTAGTCCTTCTAAGAATATACCTTTCGAGGTATATAAATTTCGTCAAGCTAAGCAACAAGAACATGAGACTTAGATGCATATTATACTAGATTATGTACTTTGGCCAAAACATGTGAATTTGCAGACACAGATACTGAGCTATGAAACAACAAATAATTGAAGGATGTTTATCTAACAGATTGCGACGAAAGATTTTAATGGAAAAAACATTTACCCTGTCACAAATATTAGATTATGGAAGAGCATTAGCTCGTACAGACCAACAAACAAAGGAAATTATAAAAAAGGACATTTCTGATGGTAATGAGGAATATACTAATCAATTACAACAGGATCACCGAAGACCTAGAACAACCAGTAAGTACTCGTCATCATCTAGTGAGAGATGTTTTAAATGTGGACTGGGGTTTCCACACAAGGATAACCAGAAATGTCCAGCTGTAGATAAAGAATGTTACAAGTGTCATAAAGGGGGGCATTTTGCTCGTGTATGTAAAACAACCGGAGGAGCTACTAGTTCATTCCAGCGTGTTAATAAGGTTGATGAACGGCATTCATCAACCCACAAATCAACAAGTAATTCGAGTAGTGACTCAGACAGCGGTTCAGAACACATGTTCACAGTTCAACAAGCACAACAAAGTAAGCATCCCTATTCTACGGTCCGTGTTAATGGAGTCCCGATGAAAATGATGGTGGACAGTGGTGCGTCTGTTAACGTTTTGGGTCCTGAGGATTTCGAACATTTAAGCAAACAAAGCAAAGAACCAATATCCTTAAAAAAAACCAACACAAAGATTCGTGCTTTTGGAGAAAATAACCCTATTCCCCTATTAGGCAAAGTGGAGACATTAGTAGAATCAAAACATTGTATGACAGTGGCTACAATTTACATTACAGCATCTCAATATGGTAAATTGCTTAGTAATACAACAGCACAGCAATTAAGACTTATTAAGTTTGATCTAAATTCAGTTTCTCAGCAAGCAGTACAAGAGGGTGATTTGGATAGAAAAGCCTTGCGACAAACCACAACCCAAGTTCAGATACCTACTACAACCAGTAACTCGACAAGTAGTAATGGTGAGAAAAGGACGAAAGTATGCACAAGTACGCCAGACACAGGGCGAGTCTCGACTCTTTTAGAAGAGTACGCGGATGTATTTGAAGGTGTGGGACATCTTAAAGGGTTTGAACAAAAACTGCACATTGACGATAGTGTGCCACCTGTGGCCCAAACATACCGTAGAATACCTTTTAATCTTCGTCCTCAGTTAGAGAAGTGGCTTCAAGAGTCGCAGGATAATGATTTGATTGAACCTGTCGTTAATAAAAGTACAGAGTGGGTCAGTGGAGTAGTGATCGTGCCTAAGCCGAAAAATCCGGACGAAATACGTGTATGTGGGGACTATCGCAGAGTTAACGAAGCCATTAAGAGGGAACACCACCCTATGCCTACAATTGAGGAACTAACAGATGATATGAGCAATGCAGCTCATTTTTCTCGCCTAGATTTAAGAAGCGGATACCATCAAATTGTGCTTAACGAAGAATCGCGTGGTATAACAACTTTTACGACTCATAAAGGTCTTTTCCAGTGGAAAAGACTCCCTTTCGGAATTAACTCGGCAAGCGAAGTGTTTCAAAATGCTATCCAGCATGCATTGCAAGGATTGAATGGAGTTAAAAACATTGTTGATGACATAATTGTTTGGGGGCGAACTCAAAAAGAACATGATGCCAATCTTCAAGCTCTATTGCAGAGACTAAGAGACACCGGATTGACTGCAAAGAAAAGTAAGTGCCTTTTCAATGTGGACAGTTTATGGTTTTATGGCATGATTCTTAGTAAGAATGGGATTAGGCCTGACCAAGAGAAAGTTGTGGCAATAAAAAATACACCTGCCCCAAACAATGTAAAAGAACTTCGTAGCTTTCTAGGACTCGTGAATTACTGTTCGAAGTTTATTCCTAATTTCTCTACCATTACGGCGCCGCTACGGAAATTGGATCGCAAAAAGGTTCCATGGACATGGGACGCTAGTCATCAAGAGGCCTTTGATCAGGTTAAATCTTCGCTATCTGAACAGTGTACGTTGGCCTATTATGACCCTAACAGATCAACGAGTGTTGTTGTGGATGCTAGTCCTGTAGGCCTAGGGGCTATTTTGGTTCAACATGACGAACAGGGCATTTTGAAAGTGATTGCTTTTGCTAGTAGAGCACTAACAGTAGTTGAACAGCGGTACTGTCAGACAGAACGAGAAGCGTTGGCATGTGTGTGGGCATGCGAGAAATTTCATTTATATTTAGTTGGTTGTCAGTTTACCTTGTATACAGATCATCAAGCGTTAGAAATCCTTTACTCAGCAAAGGCCAAACAATCTGCTCGAATACAGAGATGGGCATTGCGCCTCCAGCAGTATAACTACACGGTCAAGTATCGTCCAGGCACAGGGAATCCGGCAGATTTCCTTTCGCGGGCACCAATTAACGAGCCCTCGGGACAGTCTATTGCCGAAGAATATATTAACTTTATAACAGAGCAAGCCATTCCCAGAACAATTACCTTGTCAGAGGTGCAAGAAGCGACAAAGAACGATAAAGAACTGCAGTCAGTTGGACGAGCACTTCAGTTTGGCAACTGGAAAGACAAATCCATATCAGCTTATTTTGCAGTACGGCATGAAATAACATCAGTAAGGGGTGTACTGTTGAGAGGACACCGACTGATTATACCAATATCACTTCGAAATAGAACTCTAGCCCTGGCACACAGGGGACACTTGGGAATTGTCAAGACCAAACAAAATTTGAGAACCAAGGTATGGTGGCCTAGATTAGATAAAGAAGCAGAGCAACATGTAAAGGAGTGTTTGACGTGCCAAATATCTGGTAATCCTGAACCCCCTCCACCTCTAGCAGTTGTCCCACCTCCAATGGCACCATGGTCATGTATTCATGTTGATTTCTATGGACCAGCACCTACAGGAGAGCATCTATTGGTGATGTTAGATGAAACAACCGGATTCCCAGAAGTTGAGATTATGAATAAAACCACAGCTTTTCATACAATACGAGCGTTTGAAAAAGTGTTTGCCCGACACGGACTGCCAGACACAATTAAGAGCGATAATGGGTCGCCGTTCGAGGAAATTAAGGACTATCTGACAACACAAGGCATCCACCATCACCGTGTAACACCTTTTTGGCTCCAGGCCAATGGAAAAGTGGAAGGCTTCATGAAACCTATGGGTAAAGCTATTCGAGCGGCTTGGGCAGAGGGTCGAGATTGGCAAAGAAAACTATTCACATTGTTGATGAATTATCGTACTACGCCCCACCTATCTACAGGTGTGGCGCCAGCCGAGATGCTTTACAAACGAGTAATTCGATCTACCGTTCCGTCTTTCTCTCAGGCACCTGCCAATACTGCTGCAAAAAGGGTTTTGAAAGGAAAGGCTAAGTCAAAACAATAAGTAGATGCCAGAAGACGTACACGAAAGTCATCGATAAAGGAAGGAGATACAATGTTGGTGAAACAGAAAAAGAAGAACAAGTATACAACCATGTTTCGTCCTCAACCATACAAAGTTATCAATGTTCGATATTCCAGAGTAATAGCGCAAAGGGGTGATCATGTGATTACAAGAAACGTTTCGCATTTTAAGAAATTTAGTGGAGCGTATAGAGAAACTGTTCCAAATCCTGAGTCAGAAGATGATATTACCATTGCGGCCCCACAAGCAGGACAGGACAATGATCAAGACATTGAAGATAGGTATCCTTTAAGAGCAAACAGAGGCGTACCGCCAGATTTTTATGGACGGTAAATAACTCTGATAGTTATTTGTATACTTAGTTGTGTTATCAATCGTAGCATGGACTACAGGTTTTAGTTCACATTACCAGATTCACTTAGAACTATTTGTTGTGAGAGAAAGAGGGAGATGTTATGTTGGTGTTACATGAAGTATAGAACGTTGCATCAGGGGAGTCGGGGGATTTTGGAAGTGAGCACATGTGTGTAGGTTTTATGTTTTAGGTACGTTGAAATAAATAACGATTTTGAAGATATAACAGTTAGGGCTAGGATGTAGTCATTCGACGAAGATTTCAGATGTTTGGGATACTTTTGTGTCTTGGCGAAATTTGATCTTAAACATGTACAATATTAGCGTAATTGCGTGCTTGGATTTTATTAACCGGCGCGTTACGATTCCAATATCTTACGTTTGTTCTATTCAAAAAGTTAACATGCTTCACTGTAAATGACACTGAGAACACAGAGTTTACTTCTTAATGATTTTCTTTGCATTCAAGTTACTTTGTCTACAGTATATGTGTATATACATACTGCGCGCACACACGTACGCACGCACAACCAAGCATGCATTTTAACTTTTTTCGAACGTAAAAAACATAGCCGCAGCCCCAAGGTTACATGGCTTTAAATTGCGGTGCCCGTCCAAGTTTGACACCGGCTTTACTGATTCTGTCTGTGAGTTTGTACGTTTATGCGGAATCACAAGCATATTTACTTGATGTAATCTCTAAGGTAATAATTATTTTTATTGCTGCTGACGCTGCATATTTAATTGTTTACATTTCCTATCGATACATTCATGTCGACTTGCATTTTATTACACATACTTTGAAATAACTTTTCTTACGTATCGATTCGACAACATAACAAATTTCCAATTTTCCGACGGGTTTCAACAATGAGAGGGGGGGGTCTGCCAATAGGGGAGGGGGGGGGCTTGAAATCCCGCTTAAGGACAAACTGTTGTCAATATGCAACTATTTATTCTGTCATGCACTTTAGTGTCGACGGTTTTGACTTTGTTTTAGGTTTGTCGCTAGAAGACACTAGGGCACCGGTTTGTTTTATAGGTTTGTCCCTAGAAGATACTAGGGCATTATAGAACTGTGTCTGGTTACATGTAATACTTTCCGTGCATTGTTATATTGTTTGTAAACAACAGTAGCACGTGCAGTCTCGCGACTGCCTGTTTTTTATGTCTGTAGTAAATGGTTCAGTTCAGTTTCAAGTGATTTCTGCAATACTTGTAATGAGCTGTACCAAATTAATATGATGGTAGAGCAGAAACAATTCTTCCCATTAATATTTTTGTCGGTGGAAGTTACATTACATTTGGTGATTGGGAAAACACTTAGACTCTTAGTTAAATATTTCCGTGTAATTTAATAAAACTTAATCGAGATAAAGCTAAGGAAATACGAAAAATACAATGGACTTACCTTTATGCTTCAAGAACTGTAACAAACCAATGTAACATAATCAGACAGTTTCAGTTGCAATATTAAACTACAGTGGACAATTCGTCTGGCTGCGTGCGTTTATTTACAACTGCAGTGTTGAGAAAGTTACTTCCGGGTTTATAACAGCGCCCTGAGGTTACAAATCAAATGATATTTGATTAATAATAATATTATTTTAAACTGTTTTTTTCTTTACGTGCTAGACCACGACATAATTCGTCGCAGGCACTCTAGAAACGATCACGCTTTATACCATCCTGCATTCTAACCTTTTTCAGCTGATTTTCCATTCAACGACAACGTTTTTATTTATATTTGTATAGTATTTGCATATCTGCATGATTGTGTTTTTCATAGTGTAAATTGGAGTTAATTTAAAAACGCATGACCGATATTTAAGAGTGAAGCGTGTGTTCTCAGTGACGACTACAGTAAACACAGAATCGTTTTGAAAAAAATTTAAGAAATAATATTCACAGTGTCACGCTCCAGTTAATACTAACCACTCAATGGGCAATTCCAACTATATATCATATAGACTAAATTTTGATCTAGGCAAGAAGAACAAAATCCATCCAGAAAGAGCATGTTAAAATTAGTAAAATTGCAAAGTTTGGCCGCGAAATGTTGCAAAATGAGGAAAATAATAGCAATACGAAATTTACAAATTTTGTATACCACATTTGGGCCGAAAGTGGTGCAATTGACCACTTGCGCAATAGGCTAAATTTTGATCTCAACAAAAATTTCATCACAGCTTGAAAGAGCATCACAAAATTAGTAATATTCCAAAGTTTTGTTGCGAAATGTTGTAAAATGCGGAAAATATAGCCTTGCGAAGTTTGCAATGTTCAGTCATTTTAGATTACAAACGGGAAATTGACAGCCCCAAACCCTTCGAGGCTGTCAATTTCCCCTTGGTAATCTAAAATGACTGAAAATTGCAAACTTCGCAAGGCTACATTTTCCGCATTTTACAACATTTCGCAACGAAACTTTGGAATATCACCAATTTTGTGATATGCTCTTTCAAGCTGGGATGAAATTTTTGTCTAAACTTGTTTAGATCAAAATTTAGTCTGTTACGCAAATGGTCTATTGCGGACAAATTAATACAAAATTTGCAAATTTCGCAGGGGTATATTTTCCTCATTTTCTAACATTTTGCAACCAAACTTTGTAATTTTACTAATTTTATCATGCTCTTTCTAGCTGTGCTGATGGATTTTGTTTTTCTTGCCCAAAATCAAAATTTAGTCTATAGCTGGAATTGCCCATTACGCTAATATTGTACATGTTTAAGATCAAATTTCGCCAAGACACAAATGAATCCCAAACATCTGAAATCGTCGTCGAATGACTAAATCCTATCCCTAACAAATTATGCATATGTACATTTATAAAGAAAGTAGGACCATATTTAAATAGGCGATTCACAAGACGTACTTTGGCTAGTTTGGAAAACCCGAAAATTTCAACCATCTTTGATCTAAAATAACCAAGTCAATACGCTTCGATTTATGGAGAAAAGATATCACGAGAAAGTTCCATATATTCTAAAGACATATATTGTAACAGCAGAGCAAAAACTTATAATGCGCGCTCAGCACAGCACATGATGTTGACTGCTTTATATAGCGTTATTTTTTGGACATTTCGCGTCATTTTTGGTTCGATTTTTGAAGTGCTCTAACTTTCCTTCATTTTTTGTTTGATGGCTGAATCTTTAGTAAATGTGTGGGATTGGATAGGTCTACAATATATATTAAAACGAGGGAAATTGAAGAACTTTCAGTTTTTCATATCTGCCACACATTCTGTGATTCTTACAGGCAAGCTCTCTTAATACAATAAACTAAATAAAATACTTAAAGAAATATTAATATAATAAATTAAATAAAAGACTTAAAGAAATATTAATATAATAAATTAAATAAAATACTTAAAGAATTATTAATACAATAAATTAAATAAAAGACTTAAAGAAATATTAATATAATAAATTAAATAGGAGACTTAAAGAAATATTAATATAATAAATTAAATAAAAGACTTAAAGAAATATTAATATAATAAATTAATCTAAAGAATAAATTAAAAATAAATTGGAAATAAATTATTAATTAAATACCCCAATTTATTTTTACATATATAGTATAGAGGAACAGTTGAAAAATATGGCGAGTTATTTTGACATGAACGAATTCAGCGTAGAACAGCTTATGGCTCTCAATAGTATCATAGACAGTGATAACGAGATTGATGAAAGAGTAGAGAACATCATGGAGGACAAAACCTACAGGATTGCACCTAGTGATAAGGGCAAAGATCCCCTTGAAGGAGAAAGACAATTTGTAGATGAAGTTGACCGTGATATGGAGGTAAAGAAACCAAGACGTCTTCCTTTGAACTATAAGGGTAGAAGAGGAATTATGCCAACATGGAAGTACTCTGAAAGACAAAAGGCTAAGGCCTTACTTGTAGAGGAGGCATACCAGAATCTACTAAAAAGGGGAGTTGAGGGGTTACCACCAACAATGGGAGGTAGATGGCGCACAGATGATCCTCAGGTGAATGCGGAAATTAGGAGAATCGAAAACGAGAGGAATCCTAAGCGTCCCAGAGGTAGACCACCAAAGCCTAAGGTTGATGGTGAAGTTAAGGTTCCTAAAAGGAGAGGTAGACCACCAAAGCCTAAGGTTGATGTTATACAACAAAAGCCTAAGGTTAGAAGGCAAACTGTCGCGGAAAGATTCCTGAGTCAAAATAGGATAAAACTCTCGGTGCCTGCAAACAGTATTATAACTCCAACAGGTCCAGGTAAGTTTACGATCAGTGTGGATCTTAATAAGAAACCCACAAGGAAAGCTCCTGAAGTGCCTAAGGGTATAGCTCCATGGAGACCGACACCTAAACCTAGAACTAGACTTCCTCCTAAGGAAAGACCTGTACCGAAACCCAGAACGGTACTTCCCAAGGAAAGACCTGTACCGAAACCAAGGACTAGGAAACCAGTGTCTACTCCTAAGGTCCGTAAGCCTGTAAAGGTGTCAAGGGAAGTCAAGGAGCGGCCTATAGTGGTTACACGAGAGGAACACGAAATAGACCCATTTGGAACTTACCTTGAAAAGCCATTCCACAGAAAAATTGAAACAGCCGCAAATGGAGCTGCTGTAACTTACTCAATAACTCCTCATTATATGGACCCCCTGAATCAGTTAACTGCAAGTAGACAGGTAGTGAGAGGAATACTTGTGAACGAATTGAAGAGAATGGGAGGGTTGAAGTACACGGAGACAATAAAGGTGAGAATGTCGAAGGAGATAGGTAACGGTAAAACAAAGAAGGACTCAATCTACTTCAAGTCTAAAACTGGCACTGCAACTAACTTCGAGGATATTGAAAGTACAGCTGCTCAAAACCAACTGACAATATTGTCTAGAATTGAAACCTTCCAAAACTTAGGTTCAAATTGGATTATTCTCAATATTGAGAGCCATTACGTGAACATTGCAATGTACAAACCTCTGAAGGGTAGTTCATATATGAAACTACCTGGGGACATTAGTAATCCAAAGTGTGGGCTAATCAATATGAAGAACAACGACAATATGTGTTTTCTGTGGAGTCATGTGAGACATCTAAGACCTAAAGCTAGAAGAGCAACTACTATTACACGGAAGGATAGGGAGTTCGTAGACAACCTGGATTATAAGGATATAGAATTCCCTGTGAAGATAAGTGATATTGATAAAATTGAGAGGAAAAACAGTATAAACATATCAGTGTTCGGTTATAAGGGTAAAAAACAGTTCTATCCTATAAGAAACTCAAAGGATAAATACGATGAGCATATGGAGCTTCTACTACTAGGTAACGGTGAAGGTAACAACCATTATGTACTCATAAAGGATGTGAACAGAATGCTTTTCAGCGTAAGTGGATACACACACAAGAAACACTTTTGTTTACACTGTCTTCATAGTTGTGTGAGTAAAGAGGTACTGGAGAAGCATAAGGAGACATGTCTGGAGGTAAATGGAACCCAGGCCACAAAGCTTCCCAAGGAAGGTACTAAAATAAAGTTCAAAAATCACAGGAACTCGATGCCTGTACCGTTCGTGATATACGCTGATTTTGAGTCAATACTGGTACCAGAGGAGAGAAAAGTGGAGTCAGAAAACCCTGAGGACAAAAGTAGTACAGACCTTTACCAGACACACAAGGCTTGTAGTTTTGGTCTAAAGACTGTCTGCCATTATGATGATAAGTACTCTGGTGAGTATAAGAGTTACGTTGGAGAGGATGCTGCACTGGTATTCCTGAAGACTGTATTGAAAGAGTCCTTCAGATGTAGAGAGATGGTTAACAATATATTCAAGAAAAAGATGGTAATTACACCTGAAGAAGAAGCTGAGTTCTGGAAGGCAAGAAACTGTTCAATATGTGGTAACGATCTTGGTGAGGACAGAGTAAGGGACCATGATCATGTAACAGGAATGTACCGTGGAGCTGCTCATAATATATGCAACCTAAAATACAGAATTACATGGAAAGTACCTGTGGTCTTCCACAATCTGAGAGGTTACGATAGTCATCTAATTATGCAGGAAATTGGTAAGTTCAAGATGAACATTAACGTGATCCCAAATAATATGGAAAAATATATTTCATTCTCACTGGGTAAAAATCTTGTCTTCATAGACTCTATACAGTTTATGGCTTCTTCACTGGAAGCACTGGTGAGTAACCTTTCACCTGAGGACTTTAAAATAGTAGGTAAGAGGTGGAAGGGTGAGGACTTCAATTTAGTAACACAAAAAGGAGTCTTTCCGTATGAATTTCTGGATGACATTAGTAAACTCAATACAGAGGGTCTTCCTAGTAGAGATAAGTTTTACTCGTCACTGTATGAGTCAAAGGTGAAGGAAGAAGATTACCAAAGAGCTAGGAAAGTATGGGATCACTTTGGGATGAAAACCATGAGAGACTACCACGATCTCTACCTGGAGACTGACGTTCTTTTGTTAGCTGATGTATTTGAAAACTTCAGGAGAACATGTCTGGAAAATTACAAACTTGACCCTGCACATTACATGTTAGCACCTAGTCTAAGTTGGGACGCCTTTCTGAAACAG